GAATAAAGAAACAGTTTAATTCTTGTAGTGAATTAAACCGCATGTATAACACTGTTTATTTTTTTAATTTATTGATTTAGGATTTAGAATTCTTTTATTTTTTTCACCCACATATTTTAATATGTACTGTGAACTGCCATTTCACAATTTTATCACTTAGATTTAGTTGATTCCCCCCAACCCAATTTTCTGAACTATTCTTCTTTACAGCATTTCAATGAAAAGAAAAACATTGAAGGCAAGCAAGACTCCTTCCCCAGCAGAGGAACTGTAGCATTTTAAAGGCTGTTTGTATCAGCATTGGGCAAAAATAATCCAAGCGGATTATTTGGAAATTTGGAAGGGATATATCAGGAGGCCCAAAGAACTCAAAAAGATAGAAGTAAAAACTTCTTTAAGATTTCACCATCTAAGTCCACATACAAATGTCTTCATGATCCAATTCAGCGGGGTTTGATCCAACCTTATTTTCTGAGATTTAAATGCCCTGTCACAAAGCTTAACTGTGCAATTCTGATTGTGCAAAAGTCCTTAAATAAGCTAAAGTTAGTTCTCACTACATGTATATACTAAAGCTCACTAATCACAGGTCTTGGGATAGACTGGAGTGCTCACATGGACAAAAGCTGATCTCTCTGTTATGATTTTAATAGCTACACTAGTTTGAAGGAAATAGTCTTGCAAATACAATTTGAGTTATTCTATCAGACAGCGGAGAATTTTTTTGTTGTACGAGCCAGAAAAACTACAAAATCTTTGCCAAAACAAAGTCCAAGTTATCTAGACAACAAAAAAAAAATCTTAGAAAACATCTCTTTTCATATGGTGAAAGTGTATGAAGCTATGAAGCTTCTCAGTATCACACTTACAAAACAATGCTTCTTAGAAGTTCATGAAGTCAATATAATTTGACAGTAAATAGGCCCCTGCCAAACAGAATTCACTGCTGGTTTAAACCAACACTCTCATTTGCTAGGAGACTTGACTAGATAAACAGAAGCAAGTTTCTCACATTTTTCATATTTGACATCTCACATGACCTCTTGAAAGCTCACCAAAGTACTGAAACACCCGGATGACTGTTCTCCAACTACAAGGGAAGCATTTCATAAACGTGTTTGCAACTTTTGAGACTGAAATGCTCAACACTAATAATGGCAATTGGCTACTGCAAACCTCTGGGATGGTGAAGTTTACCCGGTATGAATATTTCTCTTTCCCTTTAATGACAACAGCTCAAGCACACGTAGCAGATCAAAAACCTGACAACGTCTCAAGAGGCACTTCCCAAGGTCAGTCCAAAGACTGGATGTCCACATGATTTATTACACAAGAAATAACTTCGTACCGTACAACACAAGATACATTATTCAGTTGCAACATGCAGCAGAATTCCCCACATGATCCCCTACAGAAAAACATGAACATAACTGCTCAGCATTAACACAGATACTCAGCCTTCAAGACACTCCCAACTTCTGACACACAGTACAAAGTGGCAGCACACTGTACTTTATGTGGGCTCCAACACAGCTCCGAACCCCCACCAGCCACTCAGCTTGCACCAACTTGCTCCAGCATTTGTCAGCAATTACATTAAACAGGACAGACAGGAACCTGACTATAAAGAAAGAATGAAAGTTTCTACTTCTTAGAATTCCTGAAAAAAAACCCAAAATGCAACAGTGGCCTTTGTACTCGGCTGCCACGGACGTGCCCTGTGGTTTCTGCAGCCCCTGATCACAGGGAAGGCAATGCTGAGTGGACACTTTCACGATGGGCAGATTTATATCCATTAGCTGTGTACATCTACCTCTGCCTCCTCACTCAATTCAGACTTGACCTCTTCTATGATCTTTCACAACTCTTAAGACAGAGTGATTCTTACTAACCAATATGGGATATTTTCTATGCCCTAAAGCGTCTCTAAAGCATATTAATGTATTATCTGTTTTATCCAATTGGCCAGTATTTCTAATGTGCTTGCAACTGTGAAATCCAAAGGTAGAATCATTAACACCATGATTTCCCCCACTCACCCGGATCAGGAAGGCAAAGATACCTTTGTTCCACTTAAAAAAAACCCAAACAAACAAACAAAAAAACCCCCAAAACTTACAAACCACACAACACTTTCCTTTTTCATTTAAAGTGTGCTTTAAAAAGACACAGCACCACTAAAATTTGACATTCATCCTCACTTAAACTAAAATCATTACAGTAGATATACCTAAGACATCAGTAAAACCAAAACCTATCAATAAAATAAAGCTAAATTGAAAAAATCCTTATTCTTCAAATTCCAGAAACTTTTATAAAAGCAGAAATAAAAGTGTCACAAGTTGTTACAGTTTATAAATTGAAAGACTGTAGAGATTGAAAGACCACTGAAATAATCTTAAAGGACACTCAGAATTCTGCCAACACCACATTTTTGCTGCAGAAATCCTAGGTTCATTCTCTTCAAGGTGGATTTCAAGTGCTAGGAAGCAAACAGTACTAACTCAATTGGATAGTGAACTGTTTGCTGTGTCAAAGCTTTTTGCCCAACACATATATATAATTTTTCCTTTCACTATATGGATAATCAACCCCAGATGGCAATTTACATAGGCAAAGCATAAAGGAATCCACGCACTGCTGGTGCTCTCAGCCTCAATCAGAGCAAGCATGGGCGTTTGAGAATGTCACTGTTTATTTTTAATTGCTGTGTCCCTCCTTCGTGCAGGTTCAAGCGGTCAAAGATGTCGAAGTCCATTAGTAGAACTGGAAGGTGATGCCACTCCATTTGGTGAGAGGGTTCTTCAAATTTAAAAAAAGCAGCTGGTTTGTAATGTCCCCAAATGCCCAGCGGGTACCAGCTGTCAATCTCAGTTACCACTGGGTCAGGGCAAAAAAAGGTCAGAGAGAGTCATAAACCACAATGTGTTGTGAAATGTGCTTCCTCCGTTACCTTGTAGGCCTGAGAAAGGTTTGACCTTTTATAGGTATCCTAACCCAGTTCTGCATGATGCTGGCAGGGGTAAGTACAACACACAGCTCAAACTTACAAAAGTTGCTTCCCTTTACTGCGCTCTTGGGCTCCATACCTGCACAACATGAACATGAATATTCACAAGTCGCTAGTGGCAAAAACCCAAAACTTTGCCCACCACTATTATCACTCAGAGGTACAAACATATCTATTTCACACACAGCAGTGGAAGGATTAATTCATTAACAGCAAATGTAAAAATAACTAAAACTTCGAGGGAGGTTGTTAATGCCATAACAGCCTAGCAATCTGGCTTCTCTTTGCAAACGACCTGTTTATCTGCTAAGTTGGCTGGCACTTCAGTGACTACTCTCCCAGTCATTTGGGTGGGAAGAAAGCATCTTTTAAAGTCCCATTTAAGGCTTTTCCTACTCTCCATTTGCAAGTTATTCACTATGTTTTTGTTGTTTCCTCCTTCACACGGATTCTCAAAAAGCAGTCTTATTCCTAAATATATTTCTTCAAAACGTGCTTGGACTACACACGAAAAGCTCAATGGTCATTTCCAGATATAATCTAGTGATGCATTCTTTCTTTGCAAGAAATAATTGCTCTGTCTCACCCCCATCTCCCAGAGCAGAAAATGACAGGAAGTTTGGCCAGTGCTATGCCAAAAGGAAAGCAGCAAACCCTCTATGCAAGGCCCTGTTTGGGCAGAAGCCATGTCACACTCATCAGCCTTGCACTCCTGACTACTTATCCCTCTTTGGACCCCGAGCACAGGCAGGTCCAGGATTGTGAACAGGACACAGAAAAGGGAAGGAACAGCAAGCAGAAAGCAGGAGAGGTTGAAACCAGAGCTACAATTCCCTGAAGGAATTGAAAGCACAGCTCCCAAAATGGGCTGCATGCTGCACAGGAGAATACTGGCAATTAAGAACTTCACTTGGAAGCAGACATGTCAGAGCACTTTTCATGCAAATCACTTCTATGCAAAGAACAATATGATATAAACTAGATGGCCACAGGGATCGCAGAAGAGGCTGGTCAGAAACTGATTGTCAGCTGACAATATATTTCAGGTGAAATTAGAGTGCCTCACTTAGTCCTTCACTTGTCCACAAAGCACAGTCAAAAATGAGAAAGCAGCATGTTCACTCAATGAAAGAATAGGGTCCTTATAGTAATGACTTGAAGATAATACTGACAGCATGAAAAGGGGTCAATCCAGGCTTGTTGAGCCAAAACTTTCCCACACCCAGAATGTTACTGGCTAGGTCCATTTTTAAGTGGTAGCTGCAAAATACTCCTCAGTCATGATTTATTTTGGGAAAGTCAGTGCAAATCAGCATCTGTGGAATAGACTTCACCTGTTCCAAGTATAAAATCACCTTGTTCTCTTTTAAAGGATGAATATCTTTTAAGGTAATTAAATAGTAAAAACAGTTCAGCAGTTCAAAGGCCATTGAAAGGCCCTTGTGACTTTCTACAAGCTCTCCGAAGATCCCAATGGCAGCAAGCCACCTACTGCATTCCAGCAGTTCTCCCAGAACATGCTGACATCAATTAAAGCCTCAGCAAACAAAGAGAATGTATATCAAGCATTTCAATGCCCTCTCCTTGTCATTTCCTTTGCTCACAGACATTTCTAGAAGCCTACCTGCTCAGATTCTTTCACAAGCCGCCTCACTGCAGCATGTCTCACATTCAAACCTTGTTCAGTCCTTGGGCACATCCTATCTTGGAAACATGCCCACCTTGCTTTTCTGAATTTGAAAGTCTAACATGCTAATCTAGGTCAGTCTTCTCTCCTCTTCACCCAACTAAATTACTGAGCAGGTAACTTTACTGACTGCCTTTTTTAAAAATCTCTACGTCTCTTCCTGTTACAATATGGGTTATAGTAGAGTACAAAAAAACACGTAAAAATAACTGAATAATTTCAGATAGGAAGAGAACACTCTCTTCTTTGTTGAGCGTCTCTTTCTATCAGGAAAAACAGGGGGAGTGAAAATGAGAGACTCACCTTCAGGGCAGGAATCTCCACACTGTCACCAAGGCTAACAGAGCCAGAAAGAATAGTCCCTGTCATCACTGTGCCTTGACCCTTGATAGAGAAACAGTGGTCGACTGCCATAAGGAAGTGTCCTGAGGGGTCTCTTGATGGCAGGTAAGCCTGAGACTTCAAGACCTGAAAAAAAAAAAAAAGATAAAAGCAGCACCATGCCTGGGTGAAAAGTCATGACAGCCACACAGCAAAAGGAAGGCAAGCGGATGATTGATTGAACAAGCTTGCAATTTTACTGATTCCAGGCATCTCCCAATGAGCTTAGAACGCACCAATGTCAAATTAACTGTGTGTGCCATAGAGGAGACGCACACTTAGCAGCAGGAACAGTTCGATTTTCTGCCTTAGAAAGATTTGGTGCTGCACATTTAGCTTGGTTAGCAAAACCGCACTGGCGATAAAGTTGCTGCCAAACTCAATATAAACACTGCAGCAAAGCAAAGAGGGAAAAAAAAGCCCTGTACGTGTCATTCTGCCTCTCACCACCCCCAACCCCCAAAAGTACAATTTTACAGTGCGTTTTGCTACTTCAGCTTTTTTGGATTTTCTGAAAATGAACTTATATACAGATATTAGTGCCCCATAAAGTCTATCTCTGTCTCGCTTCCCAGAGAAACTATTATACTGGGTTAAGTTTTCAAAGTCAACTTTTCCTTCAGATTTCTGTTAACACTTCTTGGAGGATCAAACCACTAAGAAAAACAGCTACCTAAGTACCATTTTCTAGAGAAATTCTCTAGAAAAGAGATTAGCATTTCTCTTTTGCTGACAAATACTATGTTTCTTAAAATGCATCATCACAGACAGAAGATTTTAATAAGGCAGTAGTGTACCCAACAGTGCTTCAGAGGAACTGGTTTGCTCCTGTCTCAAATCACTTTTGATCTTTAATTCTCTTATAACACCAGCATATACACTTGGCACTGCCTTTAATGTCAGTTTTTAAGGTCAAACTGCAGATTAAGCCCAAATTGTAATGGCAGAACAATGGAGAGAGTCTCTTATGAAGGACAGAAAGAATAATACCTTGAAGTTCAATGGCAGGGCTCACAAAGCATTTACCAGCTCTTCTAATATTAGGTCTCAGAGTTGACAGAAAGCTGCAACACTGGTATTTCCTTCAAAGGCTTTAACCCTGGGGAACATTCCAGTAAAGATACCAGGAAGCAGATGAAGGCAGAAGTAAGGACTTGCACATCTCCTCTCTAGACATTTCTGTGGTTAGACTGGTTCTTACTAAGGCTGTTCTAAGGTCATCCTACATCCCATCCCCATTCCCATCTCGGGTCACACGAGCCTGGGAGCTGATACAGCATTCACTGTTCAGCAGCTCTGTGGAATGTCCTGCCTTTATACAAGCCAGGTTGCCCTGGGCCAGACACCCCTAGAATTTTTCATGACTGATGCTGCACCTTAACTTCAGCAATTTACAGTTTTAAATTTTGCAGCATCCAAATCAGAATCTGACAAGTTCTCAAAGAATAATGCCTCTGTTTAAGAACTACTTTTGGCTGTGTGCAAATAACAGCAGCATCCCTCCAGGGCAAAGATGCTGCTTTTGCCTAAAGCTAATTCACAGAAAGGATGGCAAGTCTACTACAAGCTACAAACTGCCCACAGTTATTTTAAGCATCCTGCCCTTCACAGTATATGCTTCATGCCATATAATTTAAGGTTTTGAACATCTGAGAAGGTATTCTTTCTCCCCCACCCCCCAGAAAAACCAAAGAAACAAAACACCACAACCAAACAACAACCCACATAGCTAAAACTGAGGATACCTGTGAAGCAACAGTTTGCTTAAAGTCTTCTTTTGTTCATATGGGTCTGATATAATGTTAGTTGCACAACCATATAGTTTTTCTCAGGCCCTATCTCATTCAGAACACAGGGTAAATCCAGGCCATGCTTTTTATCTTTTGCAGATGTGTAAGACAAGCAGTAAGCAAGGCAGGGTATCAGAGAAGATGATTTCACCATGAAGGCAGGTAGTGTTTCTTTAGAGAATGGATTCTATACTTAGGGCAGAACTCCCATGTATTGTTATTCTCACAAAAATGAAATTTCTACAGGTAATCACTGACTATACACCTCAGACTGTCCAAACAGAAATCCCAAAGCTTAACAGAAGTGCTAAGCACTCATAACTGAAATCAGAATTGGCAGGTACTATGATCTGAACACAAGCATGTCCCAAAATAGTTCCTAGTTTCCTTAAATTTGGCAATTAAAATTAGTAAACTCAGTGGACTTAGCTCCTTTGTGCCTCAACTTTCCAATCTAAATATGGATTAAAGTCACCTCTACAGTTCCCATAGGTGTTTTGGAAGTAAATTTAACTGTTTGCCAAGTACTCAAGACCACAGTGATGTGTGCCAAGAAAACTCCAGGAGGAAATTAATTACTCTGAATGCAGAGCAGTATTTGAATGGAGTCATGAGGCCACACAGAGAACAATGAGAATTAAAATAAAATATGGACTACCTGCTCAATGGTTGAGTCCTGTCCATCCTGTGCAAGAAGTAAGGTAGGGGTGGTTTATAATAAAGAATCATGCAATTAAACACTGGACCATAATACACACGTGGAGGAAGGAGACAATTCCCAATGTGTAACTTTTGAGTGCCTGACTTTACAACTTTCCTGTTTTCTTAACTATAGTACAACTATAAAACAACACCTACCACAGATTTGGCAGAAATTTAAAGCTGTTTTTTATTCACTATGCTTCCTAACTCTTTACAACTTTAAAGACAATTTCAGCACACTTGTGGATGGTCATTTCTTAAGACACAACTATTCAAAGGCTTTGTAGCCTAGTAGTTGAAAAAGGAGATCCACTTTTGGGGCATGTAACTTCAACTTCTTAATTCACTGAAAGGAATCCCTAAAGAACCAGGTTCCTTAAAACTGGAATTAATGCAGGAGTTCCTCAACCCTAGATACTAATATACTGTACTCAAAAAGACTTAAGAGAAAAGTTTGAGCATGTTTTATGGTATTATGATGTTCTTCAGCAGGTACCTCAATCAATTCAGAAATACCCAGTGGATTCTCAGACTCTGGGGCTTCTGGTCCACCGGGCTTTGCTGCAACAGCAACAATAGGACACCCACTGAACCTGAAAGAGAGAAAGACTCCCACCATTAGGCCACACATCTCCTATATGTGTCAATATAAAGTAGTTCCAGGCTCATCTGAAGGCTAGAAGTTCCCTGAAATCCCAATTTCTCCGCTCTTCCCCATAGTCAGTGACAACTTACTAGTATCAAACTATTCAAATATACAACAGTTACTTTCCTCTGCCTATTTTTTCCCCACCTTCTATATAATTTCCTAACAACATCACAATAATTTTCCCAGCATTGATGGCAACACCTACTCCACAGCTGCAGCAGACCTCAGCTTTGCTTACTGCTGTGGAATTGTACATGCATGCCTGTATGTGTAGTGAAAATCATTATCAACAAATAAACTATTAAAAAAACCCAAACAAAAAAACCTCACTGCCAAGTGTCTGGGTTCAGAGGCAGCTGTCAAATGGTCTCAGCATATGTCCAACTAACAAGAGTAGTTTGGAAACAAAAAAAATTAGTTAAAAACCATGCATTTGAGATTCAAAGCCAAGTGGTAAAGAGGCTGCCAAGAAACACCCCAGCCTGATAAAACTGGACAAGCACTTTGCAATCACAGCCAGGTCAGCAGTGCTTTCAAAGCACCACAAAGCACAGACAGCACATGCACAAACTGAATTTTTGTTCTCTCCTCTGTTCACTGAATCCTGTTCCTCAGATTCTTCAAATCAAAATGTGACCCAACAGTTATGTCACCTTACATCCCTGACCAAAGCAAAGCTGTGCTTCAGTTTGTGTAACCACTAAATAAATATTTTATTTTCGCACTTCAAAACCAGCCACAATTCCACTCAAGAACCTCACTACACTTCATTCATTATGTACCTCAACTAATGTACCAAAATAGGGCTGACAAATATTGTCCCAGCCAGAGTCACATTACATTATATAAAGTTCCATCATTCTGCTATCTCTAATTGGTGCAATCACAGCTTTCATCCTCATTTAAGCAGATTTCCTAACACTTTCATTTTCTGTGGAGTGAAACAGACTTGCAGATTATAACAAAAGTTGCAAGCCCAAAGGCTAAAAAACCAAACAAAACAACAAAAACAACAACAATAGAAAAAAAAACAGAAAACAAACAAAACCCCACACACAAACAAAGAAACAACAAACAAAAAGAAAGAAAAAAAACAAAACCAAAAACACAGGTTAAAAAAATCAAAACAAAACACAAAAAACCCCCAACACACCCAGAAAACACCTACCCCCACAACAAACAAAACCAACTAAACAGACTCAAAACTTTTCACCTGGGTATTCTTTGTGTTATTAAACTGAAAAGCTTAATTATAGGAAAATACTTCTCTACAAATGATACTTGCACGTGTGAATTTGGAATGGCACTTGAGTTTCCAGCAATCTTTTCACTCTCTTCTCATTATCTCTGCTAGATGACTCAGTATGCTTAGAAGCACATTGGAAGGGAAATGCTGATAATTTTTGTTTAACATTTTGTTACAAGTCAGGTGTTAATATCACTGTTCACTTACTTCGTATTTTCCAAGGTCTTCTGCATTTTCTTAGTCATCTTCTCAATGGCACTTTGTCTCTTTCCCTCTGGAAGGAGATCTATTTTGTTCAGAACCACCACCATCTTCTGGCAGGCAATTTGCCCAATTACCAAGCACTCTGCTGACTGTGTCTGCATCCCTTTTGTCACATCTATTACAAGCATCATCAAATCGATAATCTGGGCACCTGGAGGAGAATTCACAGTCAGTATGGCAGCAGCATAAAAAAAGATTAAGCATCATTTTCTCAAATAGCTACCATAAAAAATGTCAGGAGATGTACAAATACCCAGAAAGACAAACTAAACACACGTCAAAGTATGCACTGACTGCATGGTTCTTTTGAAATTAAGACCTCAGGAATTTAAGCTGTTATATGCTACCATCAGATCATAAAAAATACTGAAGAATGTGGTAGTTTACATATTCCCCCACACTGATAGTTCAAGTCTAAGGCTGTTATCACTGTCTTTAAAAAAAAATGCTAAGAAAATTAACCTTGCAGCAACACAAGCATGACTTTTGTCTCAATTAAAAATTATAATCTAAGAAGCTAAGCAGGAATACGATAGAGCTGAAGAAACACAGTAACACTGCAGAGAGTTGCACGCTCAGAGCAACCCCAACAAGAGTCAACCACATGCCCCATAAGTACATCAACAATCCTCAGTCCCTACCTGCTTCCTACCATTTTTCTTTCAAAGCCCAAAATTTGATAAAAGTGAAAACCAAGTGATCACCACCAGAGGCAAGTTTATCCCAAGTCTAAAGAAATTCCTACAATACCTCAACATGAGGAAGAGGTGATTCATAAACCTGCACTATATTGCACTTACTCCCAATTCACATCTGGATAACTTGAACATGTAATCTCAAACACAGGCAACAAAGATGCGATTCTTAGATCCCTTCATGAAAAAGCTCCTAAATTTTACACTGAAGTTACCTATCATGTTTATGGATTACTTTGATTTTTCAAAGTATTGTTGTCATGAACCCTTAATCTTTTGATTGAAGCAACCTGAATTTCACGGATTTAAATTTGTTTTCAAGGAAGCTTTTGATGAATGTTGGGCCTCCCGCTAATTATATTCCGAATTTTCTTGTTTCATTCCAGGCAACTGAAATACTGAATACCAAAATAGTAAAGTGCAACAGACCTTAATATTGACAAAGTTTAAATATAAAAAACTAAAACAAAATTTAAAGCTGAACTACCAGAAAATTATATGTCAAAAAAAGCACATTTTGAAAGATGGTAGAAGCTAGAAATCACATAAAACTGCGGCATTCTGAACTTAAGTACTTTTAATATTTGCCTTAAATGAGAAGAACAAGAAATCAATACAACTGTTCCTTGTTCCTTCACCCTCTCCAGCCTTCCTCCTGCCTTTTTTTTTTTTTAAGGCTTTTACAATGGCTATGACAACAGCTACCCTTGTTCCTAATTCCCATGAACTCAGGATAGGAAATCAGTCCAAGGTTGAAGTGCAGGGGTGAATGAGCGGGTGGGAACTACAACAGTAAAAAAAAAAAATTACGTTTTACAAATGACTATTTTCAACCTATCAGAGCTTTCATCTTGTAATAATGAATGCTAAACCCTTCAGAGCACTAGTGGGATAATTATGACATTTCCAACGTTTCTTCAGAATTTTCACTAATAGTTTCAAATATCTCACCCTAACAAACTTTGGATGGATGTTATATCTTCAAAAGTAGTTTGTCTTTTTATTGTTTCAAGAATTGTACTGATTTAGAACTTGCTTAAATTACAGCACAAAAGTCATCAAGGCTGTACCAAAGGCTCAGACTATACACCACACAAGTGCAGACCTAAAGGTCAGGAAGCAAGGAGAACAAACAGCATGAAAATAATTTTGAGTAGGACAAAATAGTTAATAATCAGAATGGATCCACTTTTACAAGTACATACAGCAGGGCTTTTTTACACTTAACACACATGTTTTGTATTACACTGTACCACACAGTAATTCTCACTACACAGGTGTCATCCTTAAAATGAATGGGAATTAATAATTAAAACCAAACCATCAAGTCCAATGGATTATTAATACTACTAAAAGGACACCTAGTAAAAAATTGATGCTGCAGCTTTAGCCTTAGATAACTGTACTATGACTACTAAAGCATAGCAACCCTCATGATCCAAAGTTAAGCCAAAGTAACCAGACCCAAACCTGGCCTTGAAAAGGGTGGCTGATAAGATCCATTATATATGGTGTATATAACGGGTATCTCCTCATTTCAACAGGAGACAAAATCTGCACTGAACTGTTATATGCAGTTTCAGTACAAGGGCTACTTTATCTTGGAACACTAAATCAACTGCTTTGAATACATTTGCTATAAAACAAATGCTTACAATTGTTGTATGTATGAATCTATTAGCAATACTTTAAAAGAGCCACAAAAATCATCAGCCCAGTTGCTAGAAGGTCAAGAATGTCTACTCGGGGCATTTCATAGCAAAGACAAGATGAACAAAGGAAAAATAACTGTACAGTCCATGGAAAAACTCCAGAAACCCCAGAAAACACACCATGACACTCCAGACAAAAAAATATTACAAGTCAAGGAAACAGCAGCACACACAAGTTCACAAACGTTGTCGGCACAGCTACTGTGTCTCCTGCAAAGCCTTAACGTGCTGACCGGCCACAGTTTGTAAGAGATGGCACAAGATGGAAGAGAAGACATGACAGGCAGAGAGCTGGCACACAGGGAGGGTGGGAAGCTGCTGCCCTTCAACAGAGTCATGGAACCAAGGGAAAGATCAGGACAGCATTGACAGAAATACTTTTGACTGCATTCTCCCCAAGGCATCAGGATGTTTTGTACGTGTTTACTCATGCATATCAAGGCATGAGTGCTCAAGTTTACAGAACCCTCGGGTAACAAGGCAAAAAACTAATGCTAAGATGTAGTTCCTTAACTTTCCTCTTTGAGCCATCTTTAACAATTCACCTTCTTCCCAATCCTTCAATCTTCTCCTACACAGTTTTATATTTTGTTTTATTCAAGAACCCATTTTCTTAGTTGCCCATTATCCATGCATAGAGTCCATTAAATACTAGAACAAAATCTAGAGAAGTCAAAATACAGTGCACACAGATTCACAAATGTAACATTTCCAATCAGGAAAGTTGGCAGGTCATTCGACAAAACTGTAACTGTCCCCCATTTAACATGGAACATCTCATTCAGTACACTTGCTCTAATAGCATGCAAGTGGTAACAGTAGACCTAGAATATGTTTAACTTCATATTCACTACTTACATCATCTCTAGCACACTAGTAAACAGTCAGCTCACGATCATATCAGAGTTCAGTCAATGAAAGAAACAACATTTCTGAATAATTTTCTACAGCAGAGTAATATTTAACTAGGAACAGTGAAGTGAGGATGGATTATATGAGTATTCTCAAGTAATCCAATCTCACTTGTAAAGATAAAATAAATATAGCCATACCAAGTGGAGACTCCAAAAATAGCAACAAGAATAAAACATGGTGAAAATATCACTCAATAAACCTGCACTATCTGACTACAGAATGCCAGCCATGTGCTCTTGTGTGAAATGGAACAGAGAACTGAAACACTCAGCTTTTGCTCAAAAAAGGAGACAGGATATGGTCCCACACAGTTAAGAAGAGTGATCTGGAAGAGATTATGGAAGAGTTGAGTGTTCCTCCAGCCTTCAAAGAAGGCAAATGGTTTGAAATTACTCTGAACAAAGTAGAGACACATGCAAAGGACAGGTCTGTGTATAAGGAAGCACAGCAATCAAAAATATTTTATCTGCATATAGGTCATATAGAAAGTCATATAGAATCAGTGACAAAGTTAAACTAAGATACTCAAATTATTTCTTCTACAGAAAAAACAGGGTTGTTTTTTTTTTTTGCCACTTCATCTATGAAAGAAGCGTTCAAGAACATTCAGACAGATAAATCCCGATGAGTGATTTCTCACTTTGCTTGAAAATGAAAGATCAACTATTGGAGTACCCTTTGTGTGATGACACAAGGCTCAGATGAAGCCCTGCAAAAAAACAAATGAAACAAACTAGTTGTCATCAGAAAACACAAGTGGGTAGGAAAAGATGGGAATTATATGGCAAAGATAAGCAGCTAAACCACAGCAAAAATAAAGTACAGTAGATAGTCAGAGTGAAGAAAAACAAACAAGAAAGATAAAACATGAACTGAGAGAATCTGGATGACAGCCAGATACAGGCAAAACACAAGACCAGCAGCATAGCATCACAAAAACTGCAAGTGCCAGCTAAACCTGGAGGTAGCAGCACTCACTTGTACCACAAAAGTGACAGGGAACACTGAACTCAGATAATAAGAAAAACACCTTCACAGAAAAGATAAAGTCTAGCTACTGCTTTGAACAGTCACAACCCACTCTTGCTCCTGAATTTTGGGGAGTATCTGATTATAAACAGTCACTGGGGAAGTAATTTATTATTCTCTATTCATGAAACTAGTTGAAACACAGATGTCACGGATTATAACAATTTTCAAAAGCACAGAATACAGCAACTCAAGTTTCCCTAAACTTGAGTTTAGGAATTGGTTCAATTTAGGCAATTGGCTCAATTTCTCCAAGGGAAGAGCAAAATGATACCACTTGCACCACCATCATTCCTAGCTAGCTCTCACCCTTGGAGCCTGAAAGAACTCACCAGCTACTGCCTGAGTACAACGAAAAAGAATAGTATGCATTAATAAAAGGATGTATTGATGAACTTTTAACCTTTAGGATGAAATGCACTGCATTCTCTGCATTTGCATTATTTTGTATAATATATCTTCAAACCCATAACCCATCAATATAAAGCAGATTTGACTCTGAAAGGTAAAACCTGGGTAGTGGAGGGAAGAAGAAAAGAGGTCAGGTCCCTCTTGAATGAGGGGGAGGTTTTGCACACCACACAATAATGGAACATAGACAGAGATTCTGACTCAGGGCTTCTTTAAACTACTGTGTCCTGTTTGTGGTAATCTTTTTAGCTGACTTTAGTCAAACAGTACAACTCCTGTTCACAGGCACCAAAAGGAAGCAGAAAATGGAATTTGAAATGTAAAAATAAAATAATTGTGGGCCATGGGCTATAATTTGATTTCATGCTTTACAAGGAAATGAAAGAGGA